ACTCGTGACGATCATGCAAAACTGGAGTAATGCTCCTCTAAAGCCAAATTCTTGTCTCCTCGAAACGCTTTGTGCTCTAAAACATAGTATTTGATTCAAATAGACAATCTGAATTTGCCAGAAAATAGAGTACACAGAAATTTACTGGTGGTTATCTTCAGATCAATTATGCTATAGATTTGACAACAATCTGGTCAGCCTCTGAGTTGCGGCATAGCTTCAGAAGTCAAAAATAGACGGCTTCAGATAACCAATGCCCAAAAGACCATGCCAGATATTTCTGGGAGATTTGCTACGTTTCGAGAAAAGCCTTTTAAAGATGACATCATTGAAGGAAGCACTACTTTACCACCTCCGCTGAATTTCTTTTATTGCCGAAACACCCATGTACTAATACAAGTTGTACCCCGTCTCATCTACTAAACTAAGCTCCCTCACTAGAGTATAGATTGGAGGAATGAGGAATGGAGGCATCTTTCCTCCACTATGACATGAGAATTCAATAATTCTTGATACTGGATAGCCCTCTAAAACGACTTTCTTTTCCAGTCCCTATATATAGGGATATATCTGTGCTACAGATAAGTAGACTGGAATCGATCAGATGCCACTTCATGTGATACAACCAGAGACACAAGAAGAACAAAATTCAAGCAGTGATTCATCCGGAACTTGAAATAGAACTGCTGAAATTTTGAGCGAGCGCGAATATCAATTTTTCGCGCCTGAACTTTTGCGATGGCGCATTTCGTATTGCCCGTGGTCCACAAGTCTGTGCATCAGAATAATTTCCATCTGCTAAATCGTCGTCAAATATTTGCAACAGAATGAGTGGAGATGAGCAAGCTGGTTCTGATCACGATTCGAATGGTGTTGAAGAAGAGGACACTGTGAACTCTGTCCCAGATGAAAATCCGCTTAAACGTGAGGCGTCTAATGATTCAGGCAAGTGTCTTACTTCATTCTTTGTGCTAGTTCTCATCCTACTCTATCTTTATTTGTGGTTTTTTGTTGTCTTAACATAGTCTTTTTATTGTGGCATGTTTCGGTTTTGATTTAGAAGTGCTGCTTTATCTTTTCATGGGAGCTAATAATGGTGAATATATCTTTCCGCGGGGTTGAGTATCGTCACTTTTGATTGCAAAGCGATCGCTCAATTATATAGCTGCTTGAATTGATGAAGATTTTTTTCCACTTGGTAGGCCCATAATTTTGTTGTGGGAGGGTAAGAGGAGGTCATTTCCAGTTGTATCTTTTTCTCTGCTTGAAAACAGTTGGCATCATTTGGTGCAGGCTAGTCTTGTAAAAGTTTTCCACATGTTTAGAGCAACGCCTCTTTTCTACTTTCGCGTTACTAGAATTTAGTGCTTTGAAGGTTTTCGGAAGACTCATGTCGAATCAAGAATCAGGCTTCTAAAACAAAGTTCCGGAGACGCCAGTTGTCTATGTTTTCAAAAATGAGGGTTATATCAGAATAGGATTCACAGTTCATTGAGAAGCAGCACTTATAGCTTGTCTAACAAAGTGTTAGGAACATCACTTTGCTTCCACTCACAGTCACGACAAGGCCATATTTTCGGTTTCTGCCATTTTCGAACGTACTTTCTTCCCAGACCACCGATGAGTCGTATTGTCTGGAAATTAGCCTAATTAAAGCTTTACTTAGAGGTATACAAAATGTGCCGAAAACTATGTAGTTTTATCCAAATTTGCAGCGTCTGGAATGTCGTAAATGTGTTAACCATTAATAGGTACTAACCGCCAAAGTCTGCATATGTCATGCGCAGATAGTTGAGGTTTATTTCGCAAATTATCTGCCTCTATATCTTTTTCCATCCTCTCTTCCACGTTTTATGTCTATCATCGCTTTTTAGACAGGTCACCATCACCACCAAAGAAGAAATCTAAAGCTGACCGCAACGGAAGTGATTTGGATAACACGCAAAAAGAACCCAACGATGAAGCTGATGAAGCAGACGCTTCCGATGAGAAGGAAGCAGAGAAGCATGAAGTGAAGAAGAAGAAGTCGAAGTCGGAAAAATCGGAGGACAACAAAGAAGAGGAGAAGAAAGCCAAGTCTGGAAAGGAAAGGAGAGGTGATGACGAGAAAAAATCCAGGTCTGGAAAGGAGAAAGATAAGGGAGATAACGATGACAGGACGTCAAAATCGGAGAAGGATAAAGAAAGGCGAGATGATGAAGACAAGAAGTCTAAATCAGACAGGGATAAAGA